AAGAGGGCGGGGGAGACGAAGGCGGAGAAGAAGTGTGAGACGCTGCAGGGTAATCATCATTCAAGGAATGAAACTTCCTGGTGATAAGGCGTACACATAGACACAGATAGACTCACAAAAACACACATGGAACCTTTCCACCCCCTCACCACCTTCCCACACACAGACACGCACACACAGAACCCCACCCCCTCCACACACACACACACACACACAACCATGCCGCCCTTACATATGCTCAAACATACATGCTTGAACCGAACAAGTACCGGCTTCTGAGCGGAGCAAAAATGACGCGTTCCTCAGCGACTGAACATGTTGGCAGCAGGGACACGAGGACCGCCAAAGCACGAGATTACAGTACACGCAGAAGGCAAATACTGTTTACCTATAATGGTCTCAGTGTTACAGATCTTTACCCAGGGCAGAATGGAATCCAGCGTCCAAAAATACGTGCCTTGTGATGAATAAACAAATACGTTTAAGAGAAAAAAAGTTAAAAATAAAGGGTCTTGGGTATGATACAACAGGTAGAAAAAGCAGAGGAGGAAAAGGAGGAGGAGGAGGAGGAGGAAGAGTAGTAGAAAAAGGAAAAGAAAAGAAGAAAAGGACGAAGAAGAAACCAAAAAAGAAAAAAGAAGACTCAGAAGGAAAAAAAAAGAAAGAAGAAAAAAAAAAAAACTAATGAATGATAACCTCTGCAAAACTAACCCCCCCGCGACGCCGCCCTCAGGCATCATTGCTTCTACCTCAAGAATCCCACCATAAAGAAAGAAAGAAAAAAATGGAAAAAAAACAGAGGGGGGGGGGAGAGAAGTCTGCGTGCTGTGAGACCGAACTGGACGTCGCCATCGGGATGCAATGATGTCAACCTCCACCTTGTAATACCGTCTAATTTTAGCAACAAATTGGAAGGTGTAAGAGAGGCGGGGATGGGGGGTGGGGGTGGTGGTAGAGTAATAGTGGAGGGGGAGGGGGTGGGGGAGAATAATGGGGAGGGAGGAGGAGTGGGGAGTGTGGGGGGGGGGGAACTGACGAGGCCCGACTACCATTTTTATTCATGTAGATAATGACATGACCTTAATAATCTTCCTGAACGCGGACTTACTGCACACGGCACTCGGTCGGATGGGGTTGCCGACGAGTAATAATAACTCTTTATGCCGAGTCGGAGGTAGCATTGTGAAAGGTGGTGATGGTGCGGGGAATAACTTGATAATGAGAGAGAGAGAGAGAGAGAGAGAGAGAGAGAGAGAGAGAGAGAGAGAGAGAGAGAGAGAGAGAGAGAGAGAGAGAGAGACGGAAAGCGAGAGAGAGGGAGAAAGAGAATAGATAGATAAATGGCTATACAGAAAGAGGGGAGAAAGAGAGAGACAATGACAACAGACACGAACCGAAAAAACTCACGGACACCAGAATTATCCTAATCTCAAAATCTAATTCAGAATACAAAGCAGAATAACTTTAATCCCTAATCTGCAGAGGCACGGACTTTCTGAAATCCCAAAATGAATAAAGTACGAGGGAGTTGCTGATAAAAGGAGTGTAAATACATTACAACGTCCAGTTCTCTGTTGTTACTTCGAGTGGTGGTATAGCTTGTGCGAATAAGATTGTTTACCTTGTGCGAATAAGACAACGAACACAATATGATATTTGCTTGGGGTCAATTTGCGCTCGCGCGCGCACTTGAGTGTGTGTGTGTGTGTGTGTGTGTGTGTGTGTGTGTGTGTGTGTGTGTGTGTGTGTGTGTGTGTGTGTGTGTGTGTGTGTGTGTGTGTGGAGGGAAACGGGTGGAGGATGTATATACAGAGGGGGAGAGGGGATTGAAAGTCAGTCTCTTTCTCTTTCTCTCTCTCTCTCTCTCTCTCACGAATATGAATTATTTGCTCGTGGTTCTACTTCTTACAAAAATAAATATGAAAAACTGTCAGTAATAATGACAATGATATTGAAAATAAGAGACAGCTATATAATCTATAGCAATTTCAAAGGACATATAAGATAACACAATTGGAAAAAAAACGAACAATGCTAATAACAATCAGAGATAGAGAAAAACTAAAAAACAGGAAAACGAGGAAAAGGAAAAGAGGAAAAAAAAGGCTAAAAAAAAAAGGAGGGGACCAGCATCCCTCCGCAAGAGGACGGGAAGCGTAGCACATTTTTGCCCCGAGCACCGGATGTCCCCGCGTGTCCACCTCTCCTCTCCCCTCCCCCCCCCCACTAACTATGTCTGTAGAAGGCAAGTCGACTAAAATAATCCAATGAAAAATTACCTCAGAGCTTGCAAACTCGTATCGCGCCTGCACAAGTTACACAGGCGGTAGTGTTTGGCAATCAATTATGCAGTGGCAACGGTGCACAAGAGGGAGAGGAGGAGGAGGAGGAGGAGGAGGAGGAGGAGGAGGAGGTGGGGGAGGGAGATGGGGGTGGGAGGAAGAAGGGGAAGGATAAGGGTGAAGGGAAGGAGGAGAAGGGAGGGAAATGGAGGGAAAAGAGGAGGAGAGGGAGGAAGAATGAGGAAGATAAGACCGAAGAAGAAGGGAGGAGGACGATGAAAAAGAAGAGGAAGACAATGGGGAAAATAAAGAGAAAGGGACGGAGGAGGAAGGAAGAAGCAGAAGGAAGAGGAGGAGGAAAAGGACGAAAAAAGAGGAAGAGACGGAAGAGGATAAGAAGGAAGAGGAGGGACAGGAAGAGGAAGAGGAAAAGGAAGAGAAAGAGAAGGAGGAGAAGGAGGAGGAGGAAGAGGAGGAGGAGGAGGAAGAGGAGGAGGAGGAGAGGAGGGGGATGAGGCGGGTTTACCGGGGCTTTACAGGAGTCTCGAGGGAGAAGGGGAGGAAAGGAAAGGAAAGGAGAAAGGGGAGTAGGAGAGAAAGGGGAGGAAGTGGTTTGTTGGGGAGAGTCGCGCCCGCGTAAGACGAGGGGAGGATAGGGGGAAGGGAGGAGAGGGGGAGGAGGAGGGGGGCACCCTTGCCGGAAATCAAAAGAAAGCTAAACGTGTGTTGCGAAATTTGTTATTCCCACATGAGGTGCGACATCATGGTATAAAGCATCTATCAAAATAAACCATCACCCCCCACACCCACCCCCCAAAAAAGTAACCAAATAGGCCACAATCAAAAAGAAAAAAGAAAGAAAGAAAAAAAAAATCCGCCCCAGGAATATTCTCCCCCCACACCCCCCCACAAGACTGACACTTGTAAAACCTCGTCGTTCAGTTATCGTGTCCAGCGACCTGTGCACACAGAGACACGCACTCCAGGTGAATTTGCAAGATTGTCTGACAATGGGCTAATGATCTTGCTCAACACATTCCTCGCTTGGCAGGATAAGTGGCAACACGGCCGATCCGTTCCTTCCCAACTAATGACACTTTACGAGGCTGAGCACGTGATATGTGTATAGTATGTGTGTGCATCTGTATATGTACATACATACATACATATATATACATATACATATAAATATACATAACATACAATACACATATATATATATACATGCATACATACATACATACACCCACACACACACACACACACACATACAAACATGTGCACCTTGATTCAGATATCTGTCTAAGTATATCTATCTGTGCATTAGCCTCCAATCATTAACCCCCTCCCCCCCCTCCCCCCGCCCCAGATCCAGCGCCGGGTCAACACGCGTCCGGGGGCCCTCCCTCGCAGCGGAGCCACGGAGCGATGCCCTGCCGGCGTGTGTTTGAAATGTAAACACGGCTAAAAATGAGCAGAACTTCCCGCTGGAAATTAGACAGTGAGAACAAACTAAACTCAAAACTAATAAGAGCGAGAGCGAAAACCGAGCTATCATACCCCGACGCAACTTTATTTGGAAAAGGAGGCGGTCGTGTGTGTGTTTGTGCGTGTGTGTACAGTATTCAGGTATGTATGTATGTACATGAGCATATATGTACATATACGTGTGTATATGTGTACATGTGTATATGTATATATATATATATATATATATATATATATATATATATATATATATATATATATATATATATATATATTATATTATAAACGTGGTAATCAAATCAATCCCATCTAAACATAAAGGTTCTCTCTCACTCTCTCACACACACACTCTTTCTCTCTCTCTCTCTCTCTCTCTCTCTCTCTCTCTCTCTCTCTCTCTCTCTCTCTCTCTCTCTCTCTCTCTCTCTCTCTCTCTCTCTCTCCCCCCCCCCCCTACCCGCGAGCGCGCCGCTCTCCCGCCCCCTATCTCGCCGCCCGCCCATTGTGCCCTGACCAAGGCTCGCGCCGGCCGAGGCCACGTCCCTCCTGCCTCGCCTCACCTCCTGCTTTGATGCCTTGTCCTCCTTGCCCGGGCCGCTTCCCCTCGTGACAAAGGCCTTCCTCAGCCGCCCTGGTCCTCGCCCCTAGCCCCTGGCCCCTGCCCCTGGTCCCTAGCCGCAGCCCCAACAGCGCTTCAGATTTCGGGCTCAGTTATGATTTTTTTGGGATCAAGCGCGTTCGGTCTTTGTAGGATTGTTCTTCTTATTATTATCATTATTACTATTTTTATTATCTTTATTTCACTGTTATCATTGTTTTATTTTAAATAATAATAATTATTATTGTTATCATTAGTAATATGGCTTTAATTATTATTCATTATAATTATCGTTATTGTTACTATAATTATCATTGTCGTAACTGTAATTATTAATCTTTATTATCATTATTATTATTATAATCAATATTTCTAATTTGGCTTATTTTCACTTTTAATATGGCGATTTCTTTAGGTGTGTGTCTGTGAGGGAATTCATACATATGTGTAAGCATATATAAGTGTGGTGTGTGTTGAACTATTTTGTAGCGCGCAAATGTCCATATATGCTGTTTCTCATGTGTGCGAGGACACAACTTAGCCCACGACAACCCCCCCCCCCCCTGCCCCCCACAACCGGGCGTCACCGCGGGCGCGAGCAAGCGACCGCCAGGCGAAAGGGGCGTACTTACCGTCGTTATTTTTGGGCGCTGGCGGTTTGCGTGTGGCCCAGTTAGTTCGGATGTTGCGTGAACCGATCCACTGTCCGTTCATGTTGGTGATGGCGGTCTCGGCGTCCTGCGGGGAGAGAGAGAGAGAGAGATCAGGTCAGGTCATGTTCATATCAGGTCGCGCCAGCCGCAAAGAGGAGTCAAAGTCTTGCAATGCATGGCACGTTATTGCAATCAGATAAATACCGGAGAGCAACGTTGCAATTATACCATTACTAATCTTCACGTTTTCAATGATAATAGCATTGATTAGCTATTCCGAAGCGTGAATTGCCATCGCAGCTAGTAATCACAAAACGCAAATGCCATGCAGACCCTTATAATTTATGGCTAATATATCATTTCATCTTTTAATTGTATTTGAGTCGATATGATATTCTTCCTTTACAAACAATTTAATATTCAGTTTCAAAATTTTGGGTGAATATAGATAATTATCATATCTGTCCCTAAGATAATGAAAGTAGTAATATTAGCATTAATGGTAATAATCACAGCGGATAATAAAAACAATAAACAAGACAATTATCATCAATATCATCATCAATGTCACCATCAATTAGAGCACTGTCATCATCACCATTACCACTTTCCTCCTCCTCCTCATCATCATCATCACCACCACCATCATTACCATCCTCCTCCTCATCATCATCACCATCACCATAATCATCATCACCACCACCATCATCACCATCCTCCTCCTCATCACAATCACCATCATCATAATCATCATCACCATCATCACCATCCTCCTCCTCCTCCTCTTCCTCCCCTCATCATCTTCACCATCACCACCATCACTCAGAATCTCCAAACCTACAGAAATATTCACGCCTACATTTGACGACAGGGAGAAAAAAAAACTACATAAAAATACAGCAACAAGAGCTAGACACTGATGATCCGCGCCATCGAGGTCGCGAGAACATGAATAAAACATGTCTCTTGGATCCATTTCATCATCATCATCATTATGGAATAAATAGGAAATGGCCTATTTCCGGAACCTCTCCTATGACCCCGCTGCACGGAACAAAACTTCCATTGTGGGGAAGGTGTGAGGGAGAAGGAGAAGAGGTGTGAGGGAGGAGGAGGAAAGGTGTGAGGGAGGAGGGGGAGAGGTATGAGGGAGGAGGAGGAAAGAGTGTGAGGAAAAAGGAGAGCTGTGAGGGTGAGGGAGAGAAGAGTGTGAGGAGGGAGGAGAGAGAGTGGAATTAGGCGAGAAAAGGGAATGGAAAAGAAATGAACGAGGAAGGAGAGAGAGAGAGAGAGAGAGAGAGAGAGAGAGAGAGAGAGAGAGAGAGAGAGAGAGAGAGAGAGAGAGAGAGAGAGAGAGAGCGAGAGAAACAGAGAGAACCTAAAAGAGAGAATTAGACAGAAACAGCCACACACACACACAAACAGAGACAGAGACAGAGACAGAGACAGAGACAGAAAATGAAAACCAAGAGACTCAATAGAAGCGACGTGCCTCTGAGACAGAGGGCCCACGACGGACACCGGGGAAGGAGGAGGAGCCGCGAGACGACCGGACGTAAAAGGACACACGAGGGGCGAGTGAGGTTAGGACACACTTGGGGACACTTTGGAAGGAGGGGGGGGGGGGGGGGGACACGATAAGGAACGGTCCAAAAGAGGTTGTGAAGAGGCTGGGAAAACCTCCCGTTTAGAGTGGAGAGATGAGGGAGGAGAGCATGGTGGGGGTGGGGGGGGGTGGGGGTTATCTACTGTGTTATTTCGCGTGCTTTCTCTTGTGTTCTCTCTCTGTGCTATCTTTCGTGTGTTCTCATCGGGTGTTCGTTCTGCGTGTCATCTTTCGAGTCCTTTCTCGTGTGTCGTTTCTTCTGTGTCAACTCCTGTATCCTTTAACGTGTGTCATCTCCTACAGGTCATATTATCATTGTCATTTCTCGAGTGCCGTCTTTCCTATGACACCTTTCACGAACCACTGACGAACTAGAAAGGAATGCAACGTGATGCAACATTTCCACCTGCGGATTGTTGCATAACACAACTAAGCAATTACCTAAATGACGCCCCACGGTGATAACGTAACTGGACTCCTAATGTGCTGTCATATTTCACAAGGCCCTTAATCAATATTCGAAGGCATTCCTTGTCATTATCAGTCCTTCACTCACGGTATGTCTTATTGTATTACCATATAATTACTTTTTTTCATAAAGCGACAGGTAATCACAAGTAACATGTAATCACCCGCTTTCACACGCGGAAACAACAACAAAAAACCCTGTCAACTTATGAAGAACATACCTTGTGTCTCAAAAAAAAGAAGAAAAAAAAGAGAAAAAAGCAGCAATCTTACGCACGCAGTTGTTCATTAATAACGAAAAGACAACCCTCTTCCCTGACCCACGAGACCGAAAAAAGGTTTCGCGCTAACGAACCCCCGCACCGAACCCCGTTTCGGAAGTCTTCGAACGCAAACCCCCACCGGCCGCGTGGCGTTGGCGGAGCGTCTACCGCCTGAAATATGCAAATACCATCGCCCGTTCGCCCCTACAACAAAGCACTCTGTAATTTTCGAGTCCTTGCAGTGTTGTGTGTGACGGTTCATTTATTCATGCTCCTTCGTCCACCTCCCCGTTCTGTCCTCTCCACCCCCTCCCCCTTTTCTCTTCTCTCTTTGTCTCTTTCTCGTTTTTTTTCTTTCTTTGTCTCTATCTTATGTTCTCTTTCTATGATTTCTCTATTTTTGCATTTTTTTTTAAATCTCATATCTCTATCTTTATGTCTTTAATTTTCTCTCTCACTCTTTTCTTATCCTCGTTCTTTTTTTTTCTTTTTCCTTCTCCTCGTCCCTTCTTACCTAACTTGATTCCGCTTCACTTTCCTTTCACATCCAACTTCACCTTGCCCACCTGCTACCTCACTCACTCACTCTCTTTCTCTCTTTTTCTTTCTTGCCCTCTCTCTCTCTCTCTCTCTCTCTCTCTCTCTCTCTCTCTCTCTCTCTCTCTCTCTCTCTCTCACACACACACACATAAACCCCCTAAAAAAAATATCCTCTCTTATCCATCATTATATCACCCTGTCAGTCTTCGTTCAACCCCCCCCCCCTCTGCCTATTCCCCTCCCCCCGCCCTACCCACTTTCCCTGCCCTACCCACTCCCCCCGCCCCTACCCACTTTCCCCGCCCCACCCACACCACCCGCCCACTCCCCCCCGCCCCGCCCACTCGTCACCGCAGCGCCGCTTGTCAGCTTGCGTTCACTTATTCAAGTGATGTGTTATTCGCCTGCCATGAAAGCGAAAATTATAACGGCCTTATTGATAACATCGCCGAGGAATATAAATTCGAACTGCAAAACGGAAATTATGCTAATCTATCCGGGTTATCAATTAGATAATGTATCGTGAGTGTATATCTTTGGTAATCACAATGAGGGTAATGGGTATTAGGTGATAATGGGTTATTAATGGGGGCGAAATTGATGTCAAGGAAGAGAAGAAGAGAAAGGATGAACAAGAAGACAAGAGAAAAGAATAACAGAAAAGAATAACAATTACTTGAAGGTATAATTTGCGCCGTAAAAAGGAAATACATAGTAATTAAGGAAAGGCGTAGTAATCAAACCAGAGGGATACACATATCGACAGAAATTTAAATAAAAGGCCTGAGAAAGAGAGAGAGAGAGAGAGAGAGAGAGAGAGAGAGAGAGAGAGAGAGAGAGAGAGAGAGAGAGAGAGAGAGAGAGAGAAAGAAAAGAGAACAAAAGAAAAATGAAAAGAACAAAAGCGAAGGGGAAAGAGAAAGAGAAAACGAGAGAGAAATAAATAAAAAAACAGAGACGAAAGCCGGCATCATTCCCGCAACCTCCCCCCCACGCCCCCCTCCGTCAGTACTGATTATTCAGTCTTCATTTATTCACTCCGGTCACTTTCGCTGGTGATGCTGCCGTCCGGGGTGACCGCGGGGGACGGCGGCCGATCATCTCTCTTTCACGCGGAATGCTTACTCAATTCCAGCCTTGGCAGGGAAACCGCACCATATATTCTTGTAAAGAAAAAAAATAATAAAGAGAGTCAGAGAGAGAGAGAGAGAGAGAGAGAGAGAGAGAGAGAAAGAGGGAGAGAGAGAGAGAGCAAATGTCACTATGATTCTTTGATCGGGATTAAGGTCTTGCAAAGGCCAGGCTTGCATTACTAGATGTCCTTAACATCAACCGAGGATGCGAACGCAGGGTCCCTGCTTCGGGAAGCAATCGCAGACACTCTAAGAGACAACAGCAAAATGTATATACTGTAGTAAAATACAGTACAAAATCAGCTCATACAGTACTCGGGTGAAATCCACTGTGCTCGTGCTCCAGCAAAATCTATTTTTTCATTTTATCAGACGTGTTCGTGGAGCGATTTGCGAGCTAGTGAATTAAAAGGTAGGGCTTTATCCTCCCCTTTTAAATGCGAGAATCCCCTACTTTCATTCAGGGACCCCTTCGGGCCTGAAGGACGCCATGTATTCACTTGCTGTGCGTCCCCTAACTGTTGCAACCGCCCCCTACCCCCCTCTCTACCTCGACCATCACCTGTTATTATATATCTCTCCGTTAACCACTTTGCATGTTATGTTCTACCTTCCCCTCCTTCCACCTCCCCCCCCCCCTCCGTCCCCACCGCCACTAACAATATGTAATGGTGTTCTCTACCGGTGATTAACCACGGTTCTACGCGTGCTAAAGAAACCACCTACATATTATTTTCCTTGCTATCTTCCTCGTAATCCCCGTCCCATAGAGCTGCCCTTCCCTCTCCCCCTCCCCCTCTGCCCAACCCTCCCCCTCCCCCCTCCATTACCTTCCCCCCTCCCCCCTCCATCACCCTCACCTCTCCCCTTCCCCCCTCCATCACCCTCACTCCTTCCCCTTCCTCCAACCCTCCCCCTCACCTATTTTCCCCCTTCCCCCTCATATCTCTCCCCCCTCCCTCACCCCCACCCCCCCTACAACCTCGACCCCCCCTCGTCCGGCCCACACACAACACAAAGAGGCAGTCCTGACAAGTAGAATTACAGTCCTCCATAATTACCTCCAAGCCGCGGT